CCCAACACTGTCCAGCCTTTGATTCCTACAATTCCAGCAGCCGCAAGTGAAGGGCTCATGCCAGATCACTTTGATAGAAAAGGTTTTAAAACATGGCAGATGAAGATGCACTTCTTCTTGACGAACATGAAGTTCGACAAGTATCTCAGGGAGGACCCACCAGTCGTTCCACAAGGAAACACAGATGCCTACACTCTGGCAATCGTTGACGCATGGACCCATGGGGATTTTGTATGCAGAGGCTGGATCTTAGGCCGCCTCAGTGAAAAGCTGTACCTTGTCTACAGTAAGGAAAAATCCTCCAAGGCACTATGGCAAACTCTGGAAAAGAAGTACAGATCAGAAGACGCTGGATGTCAGAAATATGCAGTGGCAAAATTTCTCGACTTCAAATAGTGGATTCCAAGCCGATCATGGATCAAGTGGAGGCGCTCCAGTTGATCTGCCATGAAATAGCTGCTGAGGGAATGTCAATCTGCAGAATCTTCACAGCGAACAGCTTCATTGAGAAGTTACCTCCGAGTTGGGTGGATTTCAAGAACTACCTCAAGCACAAGAGGAAGATAATGTCTCATGAAAATGTCATCACAAGGCTGCAAATGGAAGACAGAAACCGAAAGGCAAATGGTTTTCAAGTCCAGGAGCACAATGTGAACGTGGCAACCCACAAGGGCAAAGGAAAAGGCAAGGCTGTGGCTACAACAACGGCATCCCCCTTGAAACCAAGCTCCTCCACAAACTTCAAGAAGCGCAGCAACGCTGAAAAGAAGTTCAAAGGGAAATGCCACAACTGTAACAAGATTGGTCACAAAAGTGATGTGTGTCGCAGCAAGCCCAAGGACAATGCGAAAGCTCAAGCCAACTTGACAGAAGAGGACCTGTGCGCTGTGGTCTCGGAAGTCAACATGGTGGAAGACAACCCGAAAGAGTGGTGGTACGACACTGGTGCAACGACCCACATCTGCGCTGAACGTGCAATGTTCAGTACCTACCAGAAGAGTAAATCGACCGAACAGCTGTTCATGGGGAACTCTGCATTCTCCAAGATCATTGGTCGCGGAAAAGTTGTGCTGAAGATGACCTCAGGAAAGGAACTCACTCTTCAAAATGTCAAACACGTTCCTTACATGAGGAAGAACCTGATCTCTGGCACACTGATGAGCAAGGCCGGATTTGCTGCTAACCTTGAGTCAGACAAGCTCGTGTTGAAGAAATTTGGGGTGTTTATTGGCAGGGGATATGAGAAGAACGGACTGATCAAGATGTGCGTCACGACAGTCCTCCGCAACAACGATGCTTCTAGCTCTAATAATGTTGTTACTAATAATGTTGCTTCTGTTTCGAATGTTGTTGAATCGGTTTCGAAAATTTCAATTAACGAGAACAATCCAGTTGCTTATTTGCTTGAGTCATTTAAAATTTGGCATGAAAGATTAGGATATGTGAATTACAAATCAATAAAAAGATTAATGAACTTGAACCTAATCCCGAAATGCAAAACAAGCAAAGAAAAATGTGAAGTGTGCATCCATGCCAAACTCACTAAAACGCCATCACCTCATGTTGAAAGAACAACCGAACCTCTAGGTTTAATACATACAGATTTATGTGATTTAAAATAAGCACCAACTAGAGGCGGTAGAAAATATTTTGTAATGTTCATCGATGACCATAGAAAATATTGTTGTGTATATCTGCTAAAAAGCAAAGATGAAACCTTGGAAAAGTTCAAGGAATATAAGCGCGAAGTTGAATATTAACTTAATAAAACTATTAAAATAGTTAGAAGTGATAGAGGAGGCGAATATGATGGACCGTTTAATGCCTTTTGTCAAGAACATGGGATTATACATCAAACCACCGCTCCTTACTCACCAGAATCTAACGGAGTTGCGGAACGAAAAAACTGAACTCTTAAAGAAATGATGAATGCGATGTTGCAGGAATCAGGGTTAGCCCAGGACATGTGGAGGGAAGCACTGCTTACCACAAACTATATCCTCAATAAAATACCACACAAAGTCACGGGAAAAACTCCTTACGAACTTTGGAAAGGTACTCCGCCATCGTATAAATACTTGAAAGTGTGGGGGTGCCTTGCAAAAGTTGTGGTACCTCCTCCAAAAAAGGTCACAATCGGACCAAAAACAGTGGATTGTATCTTCATCGGATATGCACACAATAGTAGTGCTTATCGGTTTCTGATTCATAAATCAGATGTACCAGATGTTCATGTTAATACAACCATGGAATCAAGAAACGCATCATTCTTTGAACTAAGAACATTCGCCGAGGCCATGTCTACACCAGATGCACCTTTTTGGAAGGAAGCCGTTAATTGTGAGTTCGACTCAATAATGCAAAACCATACATATGTGATCACTGATCTACCACAAGGGTTTAAAGCATTAGGGTGCAAGTGGATTTTCAAAACAAAGTTGAAAACCAATGGCTCGATAGAGAAGTACAAGGCTAGACTTGTAGTGCAAGGATTCCGGCAAAAAGAAAGCCTGGATTTCTTCGACACATATTCTCCAGTTACGAGAATAACCTCAATTCGACTGCTTGTAAGCATCGCAGCATTGAGAGACCTAGAAATCCATCAAATGGATGTTAAAACCGCTTTTCTAAATGGAGATTTAGAAGAAGAAATTTATATAAAACAACCAGAAGGTTTCGTCGTCCCCGGACAACAACATAAAGTATGTCGACTTGTGAAGTCTTTGTACGGACTTAAACAAGCCCTGAAACAATGGCATGAAAAATTTGATGATGTAGTGATGTCAAATGGTTTCAGCATTAATGAATGTGACAAGTGCATCTACATAAAATGTACTACACAAGGGTACATTTTATTATGTTTATACGTAGATGACATGCTCATTCTTGGAAGCACAAAAGATCTAATCAATCAAACTAAACAATTGTTAAAAAGCAAGTTTGATATGAAAGACATGGGACTCACGGATGTGATTCTAGGGATTCAAATCACTAGAAGTTCTGAGGGAATCATCATGTCTCAAGTTCACTATGCTGAAAAGATATTTGAGAGGTTTAAAAGCTACTCAAACGGGACAGCAAAAACTCCAGTAGATTCTCAACTTCATCTTACCAAAAATTCGGGTGAAGCAGTCTCACAACTGGAGTATGCAAGAGTGATTGGAAGTCTGATGTACTTAACAAATTGTACTAGACCCGATCTAGCGCACGCAGTAAATGTACTAAGTCGCTACACAAGTAATCCAGGACATAAACATTGGAAAGCTATAACAAGAGTATTAAACTATGTACGTTATACCAAAAATTATGGTCTCCACTACAGTAAAGAACCCGCGGTTTTAGAAGGATACAGTGATGCAATCTGGATTTCCGATTCTAAAAACTCAAAATCCACGAGTGGATATGCCTTTACACTTGGAGGTGGAGCGGTATCTTGGAAATCTTCCAAATAAACTCGGTTAGCCAGATCGACCATGGAATCTGTTCTCCTCTGGCTTTAAAAGAAAGTCGTGACTCTCATTATTTCTCAGTTTGAAAACACTGAAAATTCACTCTTCATAAAATCCAACAAATCATCTTCTTTTAACGTAAGTCTCGAGAGTTTATCGTACTAATCTAAGTTCATAGATTCTGTTTCGAGTGTTGCGAAGCGGTCTATTATCGGTTGTATCTTGGGATTCAAAAATCGCATATCACCGTCACACTACGGGCGATTTATTGAGTTACGGAAAGAGATCATCTCGCCTCTGATACTCGGTTTTTCTCGAAAACGTTTTCTATATTCGGCTTTCCTTTGCTTTCCGTACCTTATATTATCGTTTCTAATCGATTTTATTAATCGTATTTCTTATTCGGTTTTTGCGGTTCCTACACATTTCGCTGTATTTGGGAATCCCCAAGATGATCAATGGATCATCTGATCTGGTACTCAGAGGTTACCGTCTTTACATCTCAACGATCCGTGATAACATACGCGTCATAGATTTGCCTGGACACAACTGTTTCGTGGAGCTCACTGAGAGTATTCCAGACCTGATGCGTTCTCCTATTAATATGTATCTTTCCCATTCCAGCTTGGCGGTTACAACGGCAGGAGAGATATTGTTGGTCGGGACCATAACCATTGAAAGCCAGACGAGCTTCCATGTCTACAAGAAGGATCCTATTCCAGCCCCAAATTGTTACCGCCAAGACCTTGTCGAGGTAGATTCTCTTGGTGATGAGGCCCTTCTTCTCGACTTGGGTATCACTGTTCCTGCTAACCGTTCTCTTGGTATAGAACCCAACTCTATCTATTTCACCCGTCACGATCGTGCCTGTCTCCGGAAGCCTCGTGACCTGGACATCTGTCTGTTCAACCTGGACATCTGTGTGTTCAATCTTGCATCCAAGACCGTCAAACGCTTCTCTCATCTCGCCAACATGAATTTCAAGGATGCTCGGTGGTTTCTCCCTATGACTTGAGAGGACTTGATTCCACATCTTTTGCTTCTGTCTTATGACTTGAAGGATCTTCCTTTGCACTCCACTTCCAAGACGTTGACTATCATTTTTTGGACCTTGTTCTCAAAACCATTTGACATTCAGGTCTCTTGATTCCTACATTTCGGTGTTCTTGAAATGTTTCGACTCTTTCTTCCTCAGTCTTGTTTTTCTCCTTTTAATTTCGATGTCCATGTCTATTATAGTCGCGTCCTTCATGCTTTGGAGACTTTTGACATTAAATTAATGAAGAGTAATCATTGACGAAATCGTAGAGGCATATTGACAATACTTAAACGAATATAACGCCAATTCTTTGAATCGGACATAATTGCTCATGATCACTATGTCATCAGCATAAACAGGGATTGATAAGTGAACGCTTCAAAATAATCGATTCCATGATGTTGATTTGTAACCTTTTTGCGGCCAGACGTGACTTAAATCACTCAATTGTGCCATCTTGTTTTCGTTTAATATAAAAGCTTTTCTCTAGAGGAACAAGATTCCAAGTAGTACTTGTATCCACAACCTATGATTTTGGTTTCCATCTCTGTTGCATGAGTAGTGGGAAGATTACAATCTGACTCTTCGAGCTAGTAACAATGGAATGTAAACGACCTAGAGTTGGAGACAAATAGGCTTTTATTTCATTAAGAAAGCAAAAAGAAAAAAAAAGTATGACCAATGAACAAAATAGATTTGTTTCTTTGTACAAAAATCAACGACTTATTTTGAAGCTTTGCAGTTGTGTGAGTCGGTCTCCTTTGCCCCCAATGTCGCTTGGTGTGTAAGAAACTATTACATGTGTAAGAATATGACAATGTGTATATTATAGTTTCATAGTATGATGGGTTGGTCTCCTTCAAGCTCTGATATAACAATCAATGAGTCTGACATATCCAGAGAAAGAGGCTCTCTCTTTGGAACCGGATTGATTATCTTGCAACAACAAAAAAGAAACCAAAGTTATGTATATTAATCAAGAGAGAAGAGAGGCTTAAATATATTGCAGAGTAATTTAAACAGACCTTTTTGCCGCCTTTTATGTAGCCTATTGCTACTTCTCTCCTTAGCCAAGCTCGCTCTGAGAGCTCGGTGAAGGAAGGGTTCTCGCCGTTTTTCATGTACAGCACAATGTCCTGTATGTCCTCAAGCAAACTCAAAGATTTTCAGACCACTAACAATGGCAACAAGATTTGAAGGAAGAGAGTTTGTTCGTTTTCTTGACCTTTACGTATATCTCATCACCTTCTGCGTTTAGAATGTCCTTCCACACCTCGTTCAATTCACTGTTTTCAGCAACTGGTTGTGAAAGAAAAATGGTGTTATTAACTGTTAAGATAAAGAAGAAGCAAAAAGTTCAAAAGATTGAAATGTAACCTTGTGCTGTTACAAGGCTCATCACTTCCTCTGCTGCTATTAGTGTTAGTGACGGCTTGATTCTTGTTATCTACATGGTTTTGTGTAATTGTTTTTAGCAACTCAACTTAGCTCAGAAACAACAACAAAAAAAGGACTTTTCAATACCTGCTTGCCGAGTTTCGAGTCAACGATTTCAGCAGCTAGATTTTGTACCTAAGAGAAACAACAATAGTAAGATGGAAGTTCAGTAATTCAATCTCGTATTAGAAGTCAGTTACGTTACCTTAACTCCAAGCTTGTTACAGATGCTTTCAGCGAGGAGAAGAGAGTAAGAGGATTGTTTGTCCGCTCTAGATGGATCTTTAAAAGAACATCAAATTACTTTGTTAAGTGTTAATCAAAATATCCAAAGACCAAGAAGTAATCACCAACACTTACCTCCAAGAAGCCAGTCTCGATCTGATATCACAAGAATGGTCAGAGGAATATCTTCGCCTTTCCTATATTTACTTTGCATATGCATTATAGTTTCCTTTAGCGTCTCATAGTTCATAGGATTCCCAACCTGTAGAAAGATTATAAACACATCAACAACCTAATGGCTTTGAAGCTATCCTTGTTCATGCCACTGAAAAAATTTACCCTATGTGAAACTTGGATGTTCTTGATTTTCACTGAACCTATACCATCGCTCACTCTTCTTCTGTCTTCTAATGGTACATCTGATAATATCTCCTGTGAGTAAAGAAAATTTATCAGGAACTCTTCTCTTAAGAGCCAACGAAACAGAGATAATGGTATGTGGGCGTACTAATGAACTGCCTGGACCAAGATAATTATCAAACTCCTCAACCATATGTACAACATCTCCACGCCAACCAAGTAAAAGTATAGACTCTTTGGGTCCTCTGATAGAATCTGATCCCTGTGTAAATCCATAGAAATGAAGATCAGAGGTCTCAAAATCTTCGAAAAGCCTAATATTATTATAGTTTGTGGAGGAAGTTGAGAGTCAGACCTTTGATAAGGACTTACTAGGACGCATGATAATCTTCGGTAGCCGTGATTTTTTCTTCTCAAACACTTGCTTCCGAGTATCAACAGGCTCATCTAGTGTAATGTTCTCTATTTCCATGTCTGTATATAGAAGTTGCTTCTTCTTCCAATTGAGAGGCGCAATGAACAATACTTTATCGGATTCCATGAGCTTTTCGTCATCATTTGGGTGGAAGTTTACTTTCCCATCTCGTAAAAGGCCACAAACCACAACCTGAAAGATACACATGTAGAGGATGAGATTAGTTACAAAGACACTAAGGTAGGAACACACATGCTCACAAGATAGTAAGTCCTACCTCGCGAAACCCGAGTCTTAACTGTCTATACCTCATCCCAGCTAGATTTGGGAAGCTGCAAAGATTGAATACATTTTCTGCAATGAAGTAGACTTGGTCTTATTAGTACTTGAATACAAAACTTAACACAAAAACATGAACAGAAGATTTAAGATGAAAGAACACCGTACTTGAGTAATTTAGTAGGTGCCTGTAGATTTTTATCAGATCCTTTTGACGTGAGCATTGGACAAACAATTTGGAGGTAACATTTTCAACCGGTTCAACTTTTAGTCCTGCGATGGACTTGAGAAGATGATACGTACTAGGGCTTGATACCTGCATTCATATGCGGAAGCAAAGAAAAGCAAGAAAGGAAAAAAAGATCAGCACTATAAAACAGAAAACCATTACTGCGCACAATTTTTCAGTTACCTAATTTACCTCTACAATGGTTGGGATGGATTCCAGATTTGGTATAGGTTGAAGGGCTAATACAGAAAGAAACGCGTCTGTATCAACTTCGTACCTGAAACAATTTCTTAACTTGATTAATTCCTCTTTCACAAAGTACTGAGATTCCATGATTTTTACCACTAGCATTTCAGTTTACTGACAGGTTTCAGAACATAAGTCTTCTTTGTTCTGAATTAGAACTAAAGTACATAATGAAGAAAAAGTACAAACCAAACGAATTGACCGTAATGAGAAACCAAAGAGTTTATTGAAGAGAACTCCCAACTTTCTCAACTCCAAACCACTGAAATACACATAACTCTCTTAACTGCATCTTATATATATATCAACTGCCGAGCTACCTTATGGCAAAGAGCTAACAGAAGGAGCTAAGACACTGCACACTTTTACTACTCAGTTTCCATAATTATAAACTCAAAGCTGATTGCGATCTCAGTTTCATCTTCATATATTCTAAGACAAAATTAAAATTCTCTTACCGGTCACCTTTCGTTGGTAGTATGATAATGGCACGCGCCATACAAGCGGCAGCCCTCTCAAATGATTTCGTCATGTTAAGACTACAACTGCACTGGTAGAAACATGAAATCAGCACTGTAAATATATGCGAACCAACAAGATCATTAGTTAATATGGCGTGAACCTAAGCAGCTTTTCGGGTTTACGGCCACTTAATCGGAAGTGCAACCACTTACCTCTTTGTTAGGATGTCAATGTGATTAAAATCTCTAGAGTACGCTTCAGCTATCTTGTCCATCTGCTTCCTTGGAGTATCAGACATAAGCAGAAGTCTCTGCTTCCTGAAAGCATCAAAGTAATCAGCCAAGTCAGCATAAGAGGGCAAATAAATTGTAAGATATATAAAGAGAGATCAAATTACCTAGATGTGGCTGTACCTAAACGGACAGCATGCTCATGATAACTGTTCAGTTGCTTTAGTATGAAAGGAAGATGACTGTTTATTCCACAAATGATGATATGATCAGCTTCTAGGACTTGCATCTGTGCACCTTCCCTCAGCCTTTGCATATTACTCTGTCCAGACAAAACGATCAGGAACTTGTACCAATCACCATTCATTTCTCACCAAGAACTTACTCGAAATTGTTCCGTCATTGTGCTTAAAAGCCGAGAGTAAAACAAAATCCCCCAAATGGCTAGGACAAATCCAATGACTCTTTCAATGCGTGTCTTTTGCTGCAGTTTTCAGCAAGCATATAGGCTTGTAAGTTGCAAGAACTCCATAGAAATATCATGAGGCTTGTAAGTTGTAATTGATCTAGAATAATATCTTTGAATCGGTGAAGAAGCAGATGATGACCTTTAGATGACTAGAAGAGGAAATGAGGCATGACCAGGCCTCCCAGAAACAGTCTTCTAAGGGTAGATTGTCTTTCCTTCACAACAAGAAGGCAATAGCAGTGCATATGAAGTTGTACTCATAAGAAATCATGCAATGGAAAGATGTACACGTTCATTAGCTTATAGTTTAAATTCATTTACAAGATCTTTTTCCTTTTCTACAATTTCTTCATCAGACTAAAACCAAGAATTGAGTTTCATCTTCCATTTAGGGAGGTTCAGATTTCAGAAAAAAATCGTCATATAACCACATTAAAGACGATCTTGAAAAGGCATAACATAGATGACTAAGTTAAATAAAGCTATGTTACCTCAACTGGAAAAATAGGAATCCCCCGATCATAACAAACGATAGGCATGCTACCAGGAGCACCACAAGGAACCTAAAATAGACACGAAAAAAGTGATCAGAACGGATGTCATTGTCACAAAGAAAAATAGAACTTAACTGCACATGAACAATACTCATCTCAAGAACAGTGATACTAACAGTCATACTCAGCAGGAAGCTAATATCTCATTTGAGAAACCAGTGAAGCGAATTCTTACTTAGGAGCAGTATCGAATCCCTAATCTTCACTACTGGAAGACGAAAAAATTTAGTCAGGAATCTACACTATTCCCATGTTTTATCATTCTAACTTAAGAGACTCATCCCAGCAAATTCTACACATTACATATTAACGATCAAATACCTCCGATCATTTCTGTAGCTAGTAACATTTGTACAAACAAATACCAAGCATGATTCTTCAACTATAAAGCAAGTAGCATCCTGATAAAGAATATTGGGTTTAGGACATACGTGGCAATGTTCTTCTCAACCTGAATATTGAACAGATAAAGAAACCTTGCAACGCTCCATTTGATATCATGTAAAGAAGGTAATGACACGTCCAAGTTGAGAGGAGTAGGTTTATTCAGAGAGTTCGATGCACAAGCGAAAGGCAAGCCAGCCCCAACCGAGTTCTGAATGAGGCGTGGAAGCTCTTGAAACATCTTTTGCATTATTCTGAGAACCGTATACAGTGGGATGCATCCTAACACAAGTTTATATGGAAGACTCTGCGAGATTTAAGAAGATCATAACATAAACATACGGAGATTTCATCTCGATAACACAACAAGAAGCAAAGGAATCAAAGACGTCAGCGACACCAGGAATCACAAAAGATAACAAATTCATCCTTCAACCAGAGAAGTAAACAAGAAAGCAAACGCATATGGAGGTTTCATCTCGATGATTAAACAAGAAAGCAAACGCATTGAAGACGTCAGTGACGCCAGGAAACACAAAAGATCTCAGATTCATCCTTCAAACAGAGAACTAGACAAGAAAGCAAACACGTTAAAGACATCAATGACACCAAGAAGCTGTAATTCATCCGTCAAAAACGAAACGTGTGCAGTCTAGAACCTCTCAAACGCGAGAGGTAAACGAACTATTTGGCTGATTTTGCACCGTACAGAAACATAAGAAAAAAAGAAATAAAGACATGACAATGGACATGGTTAAGCTTCACCTTATGGAACATGGAACTAAAATCCTTCAGAAAACCCTTTATGTCTCCTGTCCTTTGAGATTTGACTTTGAAGGTCCCTAATAGAGAGACAAATGACAGTAAATTAGTCAATCAAGCACGAGTCTGATTGAGCAAGAGCATAAATAATGAGACACACTAGAAATATCTAATTTTGGGAAAATGCCAAATCTGTAGCAAACTTTAATTATTGAAAGAAAACAAAAAAAAATAGAGAGAGAAAGATCTCAGAATTTACAGAGACTCACCTCGGCATCTCAAAGAATCAATCCCACCTAAAGGTAGAGAGTGTAAACTCAATCTCCTGCAAAAATCAAATTACCATTTTTCGAGAATGAGATTTGAATTGATTATAGGACATTCCTCAGTTTTCAAACAATTATGAAATACCTCCAAATTCAATTTCGAACCTAAAACCTAAACCCAGATTCAGAACTTCAATTAGAATTCCAATTTCTAATCAAAAACCATAGAACTCGCTACATTTACAGTAGACAAACACGAAGCAGCTTCTTCACCGGAAGAAAAGCTAAAAGAAAAGAAAGAAAAAGCCCTAAAACCCAAATGACACACTTAAAATCTTCGACCATCACAAAACTCCAGAATCAATTTATGGAAAAGTCACCACCATGGAAGCAATTGTTTCAGAAATTGGAACTATAAGAAGAAGACGAATTCAAACCTGTTGAAAGATGGGATTCGATCGCGTCTCAAAGCTTGAGAAGGTAGAATCAATGGCTTCCAGCTAAACAACTGAACAACCACCATTATTTCTCTTCTTCTCCTTGCGAAATCTTCGCTCTCGTTGTGTTTCTACGCTTTTGCATATATATATATACATAGACAAACGCTGATATTTTTTAGAGTTTGCAATTTTTTCCCCGAGGGAAAATGCGTCTTTTTCTTCGATTTTTATTATTCAACGTTATTAGAGTTTCGACCATTACTTCATTTAACCAATTAATTAATTAACCAAAGAAAGAGAGAAAAAATCTCATTTGTTTTTTTTTATATTGATATAAACTTTTACATTGCATGTTTTAATCGTTTCGAATTTCACTTAATTCGACAACGCAAACAATTAAGCCAATTTCATATTTATTATTAAAACAATTATTCAAGCCAAAAATAATAGAAAAGCTAAAAAATTTCTATCTCTAACATTTTTTATTTGCTTTCTTCATTTTTCTCTTTTAGGAAAACGTCTTTATATTTTCAGATAATTTTCATAAATATTTATAATTATTTCTTAAATATTTCATAAATATGTATTAGCGTTTACTAAACATTTTAGACTATTTAAAACAGTTTACTTATATATTTATAAAAGTCTTTCTAAATATGTATGATTATTTCATAATATTCCTAAATAGTATGAAACATTTCGTTCTAAAATAGTATGGAACATTTTAAAAAAAATCTTACACATTTAGGATAAATTTTCATAAATGTGTAGAAATATCTTCTTAAATACGATAATATGAAATGTTCAGGAAACGATTATACTAATTAGGAAGGTCATCCTAAATAATAAGAAAAGGTTCCTAAAAAACCCTATCTCCTAAAAATCATAAGCGTTTCTACGGCCACCGCCGCTTGACTCTTCCGACCGGCCAAATACGTTGGAGCCTTTATTGCCTTTCACTTTCCATCCAGCTTTCCCCATCTACTTTATTTTTCTCTCCTCTCGTCTTTTACCCCTCTTTTTAGATCTAAATCTAAAGTCCGCAGATCTTCAGTCACAACATTCAGATTTGGTGTTGCCAAGGCCAAATCCGCATTCGTTTCCAATCTCCGCTATACTCTTCAACTTATGCCATCATTTTTAATCTCACACTCGTTTTGAATCTCATACTTGTGATTGATGAAAAGGCTAATTATCGGAAAATACCTATTGAAATCAGAGAAGATGAATGGAGTACATCGATTGATGAAAATGTTTATCAGAGCTGATTGATGCCGATATTGATGAAGTTCAGAATAGATCAAAAAATTCTAAATTAGCATGTTATTTAAATGAGGGTAATATAGTTAGTTTATGTAAAAAATTAATAGTGTAGAAGTTCTCTAGTGTGTATGTTAGTTTAGGAACCAAACTAGTTTTCATATTATTAGAAAGAATTTCTCAACAATAAATTAATATAAGATAGAGTATATTACAAAATCATATAATATGAGTATCGAAATGTGTTTTCGTCAACAAATATATATCAAATTAGAATTCTTAAGTTCTAACATCGTAATCAACATTTTTTTATTAAAGCTTAAGATATGTTTTGATTAATCATTGTTGTTGAATTATCTTAAATACATAAGCAAATCATCTACATCAACCAAATCATGTAAAAAATTACTTTTACAATCCAAGTAAAAATAGAGTAATCAATAAAACGACTATATTAACTCTTAAATTTTTAATATATCGTTTTCTAACAATCCCAAAACGAAAAGCATGTCGAAGATTAGAAAAAAAAAAGAGAAATTCCCTTAAATACATTTAATCTAAGTTTTTGTTCCTAATATACACTAACACTCTAAAAAATTCCTTCTATAACATTTTTCACTAAAGACTTGACCATATTAACCTTAGTTAAATAAAACATTAGTTAATAAAAGAAAAAGAAAAATAGTGTAAAAACAAAGATATCAATTGCTAAAACTGATCTGAAATTTGAATTCTTTGCTTTGTTTAGAATCGCTCTTCTCATTTGGGAGGTGTTATTGGTTCTTATATTTTAATGGATTTGAGAATCCAAACCAAATTCAGTGTTATTGGTTCTTGTATTTTAAAATTTATATTGAAATACAGTGTTATTGGTTCTATGATTTTAAAATCCATAATGAAATACAGTGTTATTGGTTCTATCATTTTAGAATCTAAATATGATAAGGATTTGAGTTTTAATTGAATTTGAATGGATTTGGAAGGATTTTCATGACTAAAATACAAAGACCCAAATACAAGGTCTAACCTTGGTATTTGAGTGGATTTGATTTTTTTCTATTTTGCTGATTTTGAAATCAATAAATTTATCATATCCAAAGAAGATTTATAAATCCACCAAAATATAAGAACCAATAACCCCTATTTGATTTTGATTTGTGATTGTGAATCTCTTAGATCTTTGGGTTTTTTTTATGGGAAAGTGATTTCGAGATTTAAAGCTCAAAATCATATAGTGGAAGATTGATCTGATATAATTGGGTGAAAAGCTCAAGAAACCTGAGCTAACACAACAACAATGGTGAGAAAAAATAAAAATCAGCGGAAATTAGGGTTTGGATGTCGCAGAGGTGAGAAAGACGATGAAAGTAAATGTATGAAGATATTTTAAAGTATTAGGAAGACTTTTCTAAAATATATAAATTAAAGAAGTCATTACATGTATTTATGAATGTCTTCGTAAATTATATAATTGATTTTTTTTTGTTAATTTATACAATTCATATTCAGGAAGCCCTTCTCCGAAGTATTTTCCCAATTCAGGAAACCCTTACACAATTCAGGAAGCCTTTCCACAATTTAGGAAGCCATTTCACAATTCAGATTTTTTTAAAAAAATTTACAAAAGCTTTCCTAAATCATATGAAACGATGTTAAATTCTAATATTTTGAAGACTTTTCTAAAAAAATACGAAACCTTAACAGAAAAAAAAAATTTAGGAAGACTTTACTAAAGGGTAAAATCGGAAAACTCAAATGAAAAATGTTAGGAATGGAAACATTTTAGCTTCCCTGTTATATGTGTCCTGAAAACTTGTTTTCAATGTAATTATGGAAATTACCCAAAAATAACTAATTTTATTTTGTCATTAATTCAAAAACCTGAAGACCCCCGCATAAATATTGTTTCCTTAAAATGACAATAGAAAAAAAAAAGTAATGATGATTTAATATAACTGACAAACAGTATATATTTGAGGAAATAGTTTTATCATGAAAAAAGAAATTTAAAATTTGTGTACACGGAGTTAAAAAGGATTGGTAGTACATTACTACTACATTTTAATAATTGTTTTCCTAAGTCAACTAATCATAGTTTTAACTTTTGGTCACCATTAAAACTAATAAAGATTGACCCAAACACTCGTATTATTTCCCTTTAATATATGATGCTAAAGCTGTATCTTTTTCACAACTCGAAAAATACAAATCTTGAACGTCTCCTTGAAAACAATCGTACCCAAATAAAATTGCAACGAACACGTTATTCGTTACAAACTGACAAGAATCAAGACGAATAAGGAATATTAAAATAAATAACTAAAATTGTTGGTTTTGTTAAAATAGGTGTGAGATGGGGACCGTAGAGGAAGAAGTGGAAAAGAAGCACGTGGTCGCACCCAATGTGATAATCTCAATGGAAACTTCAGTTTTGGTATATATTATTATCAGTTTTATCACGCTTTCAATTTTGGCTTCATCACTGATTCACTATCTTACTTACTTTTTTGTACTGTTCTCCCACTCACTTTTCTCGTTTTTAAATACGTAATGTATACGTATAACGAAACAATGTACTAGTATTTGTTTCTAACGTTAAAATCTCATCCGCGATATGAAACTCGAACGCTATTGGCTCCCAAGTCTCCCACAATATCTTTGTTTAATGGTTCAAGACAAAGTAGTTTATATACATTTCAGAAACACGAAGAAACTATCTAATAAGAGTTGTTTGATTATTTAACAAAAATATTATTTAACCGTTTAAAGGATTTGACGTTATGTACTCGGGATCGATCTAAAGCATTTAATCAATCATCTATAAGACTGACTATTATCAAACACTAAAAATTATATGGTCGAAGCTAACCACAATATTAAAATATCTAAAGTTCAATATATTTACAATCTATATTCACATATTATGACAAATCATTCATTGGAATCTTTTAAATTTTTAAAATATATATATATATATATATTTAATACGAAGCTTTTGGGTTTTATATATTGTGATTAATTGTGAAAAAAAATATAAAAAAAGATAAACAATTTCTTTGTGATGGAAAGAACAGTCGCAAATTTATGAAAGAGTTGTGGCAGCTTTGCTATAAACAGAAGATTTGTCATAAATTCATTGCAAAAATGTGAGTATAAAGATCGTTGCAAAAGCTCTGTAAATTTACGACGAATTTATGACTAACTTGCAATAGCTGACAAAGACGTCGCAAATATGTCGTTAACTACGGTGACATTGCGAGAAAACAAATTCACAGCAATATTTGAGAGGGACTTGTGAGTATTTGTAAATTAGCTGTAACACGTTTTACATTATTCCTACCTTCCCGTCTGATTAGTTACACTGTCGCAAACTACTCGTGCATCCTTCATAATATCGTCGGAATGTCGTTGCAATAGTATCGGTCATCGCAAATCTCTCACAAATCGCTATCGTCACAGTGATTTTGAAAACCTATAAATAGCTTTATGGGATATGAGAGTTTCACCAATCAACATAGAAAGAAGAAAAAATAAATAAAAGAGAGAAAAAAGGATTTTGAGAAAGAAGAAGAGAGAATATTAAAAATTAAAGAAAAAAGCGAAGGGAAGAGAAAAAAAAAGATTAGAAAAAGAATAGTGAAATTTTTTTTTGAAAAGAGATATTTATAATGTCGTTGGAGCATGGATTATATGTATTATGATCATGGATGTATAATCACTGAGGTCCTGAGACTAGTGAGGTGACGAAAGAGTATCGGGACGGGTTGCGAGGATTTTTGTACAAGTCGACAAACCAATCATTTGCAAGGGAACACAGTAAAATATTATGTCTATGTAGAAAGTGCAAGAACATGTCATATATATAATTTGATAATGTGAATAATCATTTATGTAATAGAAGATCTATATCAAACTACTACATATAGTTTTCGCATGGGGAAGATTATTATGTTGGAACTAG